TTAACAGCGTCCCGTGAGCAGGCTTGGAGTTAGGTGCCTTGCTCAAGGGCAGGAGGTTATACTATTATATGATTAGATTACTAATACTCACTTATTAATGTAAAAACAGGATTTTACTGTTGTAGTTGGTTGAGGTGGGTCAACTAATGATTGTTTTTTTAAACAACAAAGATCTTAATTTGTATAAGTAACTAGTAACTGAAGTAAAAAGTACAATATTTTCCTTTGAGATGTAGTGGAGTAGAAGTAAAAAGTGACATGAAAATAATAAAAAAAAATTGTCAACGTGTCTTTTCAGAAACAGCATCCCAACTTCTCTGAATAATCCCAGTCAAGATGTAGTCAACACGTTCTTGTAAGGGTTGATAGAGTTCAGTGCAGAGAAGTTTATGGATTATACCAGAGTGACCATGACATTGTTTCTGGAGAGACACTTATATCTTTATTACATTTTGAATGTTTCACTGCCGTAAACCCCATCAATAACATCCCATTGTACTGGCTGGAAGCCGAAATCTGAAAGACAGCAAATAAAACCAAAACTATTTGATGGTTAAATACCACTCGTGGTAAGTGAGAAAATATGTTGTTTTTTTGTGGGGGGGTATTTGGGTGAAGTAATCCTTATCATTATCCTAATTTTTATTTGTGGTAAAAAAAATAATAAATAATAACAAGCCCTGTTCAGCAGTAAGACTGATCTCAGGATAAAACACAGACTGCCTACAACTGGAAATTCAAGATTTTTGGCCAGATTCAGAGTGACCAAGTCCAAGAGTGAACAAGGAGTCACAGGTTGGATGGTTATGAAAGACCAAGAATGCTACTGCCATCCACTTTGCCTGGTAGGTAGGTGTGTGAGTGTGAGAAAGACTGTGACTATGGAGACTCTAGTTATGCTAGGGGGTGTAACTCTGTGACCCATTCACATGGTTAATAAAACATTCATAGAAGCAGAGGAATGTTATGGTTTTTGTGTGAGTGTGCATGCATGTGCGGGCAAACATGCGTGTATGTGTGTGTGTGCATGCATGTGTGTGAGAGAGGGAAAATGTGTGTTTGCTTGTGTCTGTGATGTCGGGCCTCCTGCAGTGACCCCACGGAGTGCACCATTCTGTCCGCAAACAAAGGGCCGGCTGTTCCCCCCCTACATCAACCGTGGACTGCTCCAACACCGCCGACCGTTTGCCGCCGAGCTAACCA